ACAGTGATTTATTTAAACAAAAAAAAAAAAAAAGGAAACACATTACAGGCTTTTGTATCATGCTATGTTGAAACACTAAATATATCAGCAAAAGATGAGAAAATACTAAAATTACATGTGGAGATCTAAGAAGGCGGACAGTCGACGTCATAAATATTGCCATTGAAACAAAGGAAAAATACTAATATGTTTTTTTCCCCTTTTTTTGTAAATAAACGTTTGCTGCATGTATGTTGTCTTTGTATATAATGAAAAAAAGATCATGGGATGTGTAAAATGAACGTATAGGTCAATTAAAAAAAAACAACAACCACTATTTAAATCGATTGTTCTTCTTTCTAAAAACATCCACAATACTGTATTTTACTTTTCCTTCTGTTTGTGCAAATGTAGAGATGTTTTACTTTTAGACGAGCATTCAAAATCTGCAAGTTTATTTGTTCAAGTGGTCTACTGTGGAGAAAATGTTATTTTAGTATTGAGATACTGTTGTAGTTTTTATTAATGTTAAATGTGTTTTTGTTTTTATATTTTTCTTTTTTTTTTTGTAATTTTAGTTAAAGTTTTAGTAATTTAAGGAAAAAGTAATTTTGTGTGTATTTGTCATTTTAATGCTTTTTAAAATGTCTATAGTTTTTTCAGTTTTTGTTATTTTAGTACATTACTGTAAGTTAAACTAAATAAAAATGTAGTTGGCAACTAGCTGAAATAAAATTTAAAATGATTTAAAATAATAGTTATTATATGGTTTCAGGACTTGAACGGAATGGAATGAGTGAAACTCCATTGACTCTGTATAGTATCGAATTACATGTACCATAACAACACTTGTTTTGCCATAATGTTGGGAATTTACCAAAAAAAGAAGGTTTGTATGTTACACAAAGTTCAGTTTGATGGACAAAATGGCAGACAACAACAAGGCTTATCAGTGCAACAATTTCATTGGCCATTTGGACTGTCAGTCATTTATCTGTCGTAAGGTCACTAAGACAATCAAGCTGAGTGAACAAGCTTCTGACTCACCTTTCCTGTGCATCCTGTTTTCCTCCAGCAGCGGCATCATGAGCCTGCTGTTTCCCAGTGATCCTACTCCAGGGTAGACCAGCGGCATGGGTTGCACCACCACTGGCACACGGCGTGGGTGGAGGTGGACCGGGCTGGAGCAAGGAGGCAGCAGCTGGGGTATGTGCAAAAACGACTGCCCCCTAAGACACCTGGACGGGGGAGAGGCCACCACTGGAGACATCTTCAAACGAGGAACAGGCGTTATGACAGAAGTGGAGGAGGCTGAAGGCATAGATGATGATGATGGTGATGAAGATGACACAGACTTGCTGGAAGGAGGGGACCGTGGACAAAATCGTATTGATGATGAGGACGACGAGGGAGACGAGGATAAAGATGACGATGCTGAAAGTGATGGGGAGGTTCTGGCTCTGTTAGTGGACAGGTCCACGGGCTCTGTTTGCATCTGGAAGGGGTCGGACAGGAATCGTCTATCATCTGAAGGTGTCCGAAATCTGCGGTTCAACACTAGCACGCCCATCTCTGTGTAGTCATGGATCACAGGAGACTGAGAGGAAAGAGACAGAATAAAACCAGTTAACTATTAATTACTTTTACACTGAAACAGGAACATTCCAGGATTTCAGTTTTAAGAGTCCTTACATGAAAAGGAGCTTGTAATGAATATGTATGGCCTTAATGGTACAGTTCACCCAAAATTAACATTCTGTCATCATTTACTCACCCTCATGTTGTTAAAACCTGTATGAATTTCTTTCTCCTGTTGAACACAATAGAAGATATTATTAAGTTGCTGGTAGCCGTTGACTTCCATAGTATTTATTTTCCATACTATGGAAGTCGATGGCTACCAGCAATTGTTTGGTTGCCAACATTCTTTAAAATATCTTCTTTTGTGTTCAACAGAAGAAAGAATCTCATACAGGTTTAGAACGGAACTTTCATTTTTGGGTGTTTTGTTCTATCTATTCATTTATTAAAATGTATATTTCAGACCTATTTTATCCACCTTATTTTGAAACAATGAGGTATGCTATTTTCTGTGAGTGTGTGAGACTTCAGATTCATTAGCTGCATTAGGTAAATAACTAGAAGAATAACAAAGTGCAGTAAATAGTAAAGCGATTTGTGCTAGAAACCAGTGTTTATGATAATAAATTAAAATAATATGATACACCAGTTTGCAGTATCAAGCAGCATAACAGGCTGTTTTTGTACAGCTAAAATAAGGAAGCCTTCAAGTTACAAAAAGACTTGCCAGCTCTTACATTAAAACTTTTTTTTTTCTTTTAATTTGATTTAATTCTCTGACATTTTAATAAATTCAATTTGAACTTTGACATTTTTATGACATGGCAAGGATAGTTCAAGTTGTAAAGAAATTGTATCTGTCTTTAAACCGGATGTATATCATTCATTTTATTTTGTGATCTCACTGGAATAAAGAGTGTTCGGATGAAAAAGAAGCAAAGTCTGTGTGTCTGAACATTGCCAGCCCCGCAGTACTGTTCAAAAGTTTGGGGGGTTTTTAGATTTTTTTCTTTTGAAGGAAATTAATACTTTTTTCTTTTAATTAGCAAGAATCATTAATTGATCATTAAATTGATCAAAAGTAACAGTAAAGCTATTTATAATGTTTTAAAATATTTGACTGCAAAAATGCATTTTTTTTGTACCTGAAAAATATATCACAAAAATGTTTCCACACAAATATTAAGCAGCTGTTTTCAACACTGATAATAATAAAAAATGTTTATTAAACACCAAATCAGCATATTATAATGATTTCTGAAGGATCATGTGACACTGAAGACTGGAGTAATGGCTGCTGAGAAAACGTTATTTGAAAAAACTGTAATAATATTTCACAATATTACTGTTTTTAATGTAGTTTTGATCAAATAAATGCAGTAAATGCCACTTATAACCAGGTGCATCACTGAATAGAAGGAAGGATTACTATATGATTTTAATGACTGGTAAGGAGAGATTTTGAGTGAAATAACCTAAGATTGCTTACTGCAGGTGGCTGAAATGAAAGTCGGAGGGCTGAAGACACCTACAGTATTGAGAGTGCTTGTTTATTACATAGGAGGAAAACACACCACAAAAGGTGCAGAGAAAAGGTGAAGAAAAAGCAGCCTTTCTGACATTTACTGACTCAGCTGTTATCCTAAATTAACATCAGTAAAGCGACAAAACATTCCAGTCAAAGATGTCAGAAGCACTCACTCAGACCTAGTGAAACCATAGACAAAAAGTGGTCTGCTGGCAGCATTATTTCTAGCCCCAAAATGTCCCTTCTGTTTTCTGCTGTGGTTGACTTGGAGGCTGTTCAGTCGAAATGGAACATGTTTTGAAACTTCATCTCTACCCCATTTCTCTCTCTCTCCCGACTCATGCTTCACCTTCCCCACCTTCCTATCCCTCCCCTCCTGCACGGCCCACGTCCAACCCCCTGTATGGGGGGCTACCAGTCATTATGGCTAATTTTCCGAGTCCGAAGAGCTTCTGGTGAGGACGGCTTTAATAGAGGGGAGCAATGCATTTCCAAGAAAAGGGTCTTGGCGTTGAGCCCACTCAAACAAGAAGCACGTTTCAGCGACTGCGCTGCCTGTTGATTTAACACACTTCAAAGCTGAGCTGCATTGCCTACTCACTTCCCACACTCGACCCGATCAACGACACGACAACGACAACTGGTTAAAACGGGTAAACCAGGGTGCAAAATATTCTGTGTGGGTTTAGCTGTGCATGAAAATGAAGAGAGCGCTTTAGGACTGGGGAGCACGTGTATATGTTTATTTGGTCAAGCCTGAAATTCTGGCACGTATCCTGAAGACTCAAAGCATAGGACACCTTAAACTAAACCTCTAGTCAAGTAATACAAAGTATACTAAAGATAGCACAGTAAAGCACAGTCACTTATAGTGAATCTCACGGAAATTTCCTGATTTCCTAAGAAAAACCTCCTGATATTTCACTCCAAAGTAAAAAAAAAAGTTATTATATTTTGCATAAACATCAAAATATTATCATTGTAATGCTGCAAAAGATTCTCATTGTCATGTTCTCATTATTGTAATAATAATAATGATAATAACAATAACATGTATATATAACATAGTATGTATACAGTACACACACACACACACACACACACACACATACAGTAAAATATAACATGCAATACTCTCTCTCTCTACTCAAATGTAGTAAATTGTAATATAAAAAGAATTTACACATCAATGTAGTATTGTTGTATACTACCTTTAATTTGTGTTGATTTTTGTTCATTTTTTTCATAAAGTTAAAATAAAGTAAAGATTACTTTTACTGTAATGAGAATAATCACTGAAATTAATGGTGATAGTAAAAGTAATTGTCCTGACAATATCTCAATAAAAATTGTAACAAAAAATATGTGTAGTCCTCAATGTAGGCTTACTTTTTATGTGTAATTATTACTAATTTATTTATTTGTACGTTTGTTGGTTGGTTTGTTGGACTATAACATTTTCTTGACAGGTATGTGATATTTACCCACCAGAACATGTTTAACAGTTCGTTTCAGTCCTCAATTTTGATTGGTCTAGGGGTGATAAATACAACAGCATTGGTTTGCATTGTGAGTGAGTTGCAGACTGAGTGACTATGATATTGGTTAATTATCACAGTAACACTTTAGTATAGGGACCAATTCTCACTATTATGTAGTTGCTTATTAGCATTCATACTACTAACATATTGGCTGTTTGTTAGTACTTATAAAGCAGATATTCTGCATGACTATATTCTACATCCCTAATCCCCAATGCCTAAAGTTAACAACTACCTTACTAATTATTAATAAGTAGTAATTTGGAGTCAGTACACACACACACACACACACACACACACACACACACATACAGTAAAATATAACATGCAATACTCTCTCTCTCTACTCAAATTTAGTAAATTGTAATATAAAAAGAATTTACACATCAATGTAGTATTGTTGTATACTACCTTTAATTTGTGTTGATTTTTGTTCATTTTTTTCATAAAGTTAAAATAAAGTAAAGATTACTTTTACTGTAATGAGAATAATCACTGAAATTAATGGTGATAGTAAAAGTAATTGTCCTGACAATATCTCAATAAAAATTGTAACAAAAAATATGTGTAGTCCTCAATGTAGGCTTACTTTTTATGTGTAATTATTACTAATTTATTTATTTGTACGTTTGTTGGTTGGTTTGTTGGACTATAACATTTTCTTGACAGGTATGTGATATTTACCCACCAGAACATGTTTAACAGTTCGTTTCAGTCCTCAATTTTGATTGGTCTAGGGGTGATAAATACAACAGCATTGGTTTGCATTGTGAGTGAGTTGCAGACTGAGTGACTATGATATTGGTTAATTATCACAGTAACACTTTAGTATAGGGACCAATTCTCACTATTATGTAGTTGCTTATTAGCATTCATACTACTAACATATTGGCTGTTTGTTAGTACTTATAAAGCAGATATTCTGCATGACTATATTCTACATCCCTAATCCCCAATGCCTAAAGTTAACAACTACCTTACTAATTATTAATAAGTAGTAATTTGGAGTGAGAATTGGACCTTAAAATAAGTGTGACTGTCATCACATGTCATCTTGAGTTTTAAAAGTCTCTGACTACACCTGTGGGGCATCGCTTTGACCGCTTACCCGTCTCTGTGACTCTGCAGGATCGATTTTGACTGGCAGGGCTGGCATCCCATCCAGCATCAACATCCTGATAGCACTGTTCCTGTGAGGGATAGCAGAAAAGCAATGTCAGGCTTCAATAACTTCAAGTGTTAAATCACACTGTGTTGTTCTGCAGACTGTCAGTCATAGTGAGGAACAGAGAAATCAAATATGTTTTGGTATAACTGTGATGACACGACAGAGTAAAAACCTCTCAGCTTTGAATTTGTCTCACAGATCATATAGGAGCTGTGCTTAGTGACAGTTCAGTGGATAGACTGTGTGAGGATAACAATAAACATATTTTAGAGAGCAGGCCAGATGGTTTAATAAGCATTAATATATCATTCTCTGAGAAGTGTTTACTATTAGTACTACCTGAGGCATTTCACAATGTATTTCAAGATAGGAACAGATGCCTTGACTTGTGAAAAATCGATCTATCAGTCGTTATTTATCATTTTCTGTTTACTTCTCCAATTGTGAGCACAGCAGCTTGAAAACAACTGACTCAAACTGTGCCATGTGATCTTGTTTTAGATTATTTTAAAGCAACAATCCTGAATTATGACATCTAGCAAGACATTAGTTACTCCTTCAGGAATGTTATGATACATAACTTTGTATTGACATTGCCCAAGTTTTTATATTCAGTTAAGACATCATTAAACATGGGTAGTTTAAGCAAGGAAACAATCATTATACAGCAGGATTATTTGACAGTTGTTTAGACATTTTGTGTGTTCATGATTTGGCATGTGTGTCTGATTGTTAATGAGAATTGAAACCTTGCTATAGTAAATATAAATGTGAAATGCTGAAGTACTGAAAGTCAAAAAAATAGCTTCCAATTTCCAGACAGCAGGAAATGAGAGGTGTGAAATTTACACTTGCATAAATTACTAGAATTCAAATGGACAAGCTGTTATATTCACTACTACACAATCACCCTCTGCTAGCATTTACTACAAATTAACTGCTTAATGCCATTATAAATCTAGTCATTTATTGGAAGGTAATGGGCTAATGGCATGACACTCATTTTTTGTCAGGATCTATTAACTGATTAAAAAAAAAATGTTACATACATTAATTGACTTAAGTGTACCTCTTCAATTATGATCATGTTTTTTAACTTAAAAAAAAACTCATTGAAATAATAAAATTCTTATATACATAAAATAGTTTGGCATGATGTCTTATTGAAATTTCTAATAAAAAGTTTTAAAACTGATTATTAATATTTGAAAAGCCAGCAAATGAAAGTCATGTTGTTCAACTAACATCAGAAAAAAAGATACAAAGTAAATTATATTACAGTAGCTAGGAAAAGCTGCCCGTTCTTATTACAAAACTCTTCAAATATTAGATATTTTGACTTTTTTATGACAAAGCAAGGCCAGCTCAGGTTGTAAAACATCATGTGGTGAGACTCCCCCAAAAGTTATGATTTAATAATTCATTATATTTGGTTTGAAAGCGTTTTACTTAATGGTTCATTCAGTTTAAACTTTTCTGTTAAAAAAAATATGATACTAGCATGGAAATAATACAAAATGTATTTTTTTGAGAAACATGGCCCATCACATGATACCCCCCCCCCCACCCTTTTTTTATTGTGGACAATTTGTCATTTATCTTAATCACAATTGAGCAAATTCTTAAAATAATTCTCATGCCACTGGTTATTATTCCAACTTCATGAATTACACTAAAACTAACACTACAGGAATGAAGCACAGGCAGCTATGTGCTCACAAACTTGCATAAAGAGCATTCGGAAGTATTGCATAAGTTTGAATGCTTCCTTGGTAATTGGAGGTCATGGGGTTAGTCCTGTCTCACAACTCTGTATCACTGATAAACAGAGGAGGTGGATTATATCTGGAAATTACCTTATTTCTTCCTATTACTGCAGCGTTTGCAGATTCATTAGAGAGACTGGAAACTGCTGACTGTTTTGGCTTCTGTTGACCTGCTTAGTTTACCTCTCACTCTCTTTGTGTATGTGTGTGTGTGTGTGTGTGTGTGTGTGTGTGTGCGCGCGTTTTTGTGACATATGATGACACAAATTTGTATAATGACATGGGTATGACATAGGTATAACAAGTCCCCATTTTTCAAAACGCTTATAAATCATACAGAGTGAGTTTTTTTGAGAAAGTAAAAATGCACAGTTTCCTGTAAGGGGTAGGGTTAAGTGTAGGGTTGGTGTAGGGCAATAGCACATACATTTTATACAGTATAAAAACCATTACGCCTATGGAATGTCCCCACGATTCACAAAAACAAACATGTGTGTGTGTGCATGACTGTAATCCATGGCAGACAGGATGTCAGAGGAAACGGGTGGGGTCTGAAGGGCTGTGCCCACTTAAAATCCCTGCTTCCAAATGCTGTCTTTGTCCATGTGTTCCTGGGTTTTTCAAGACAGAGAACGCCCAAACCCACTTTAATGGCACCAATCTGAGAACACTTCACTTCCCCATGAGTGTTCTTACCAGAAAAGCTCCACTTTAAAGCATTAGTCCACACCACACCCAGGTGATGATCGACAGCATCCCGCTTCGCATGTCTGTATGTACAGTAACACATCATGCAACATCTTTAAAGCGTCTGTGAGTTCCCAGATGAAGCCATTATAATTTTGTTTTGCTGTTTGGGGTTGGTTGGTCATTGTGGTATATTGTATTTCCTGTTATGATGACTTTGTCTGAATTATGAAGTGAATTTGTGATGAATGACATTACACAGAATTGGTAAAGAAGATTTTCTTGGACATTCTTTGTTATTTGTGTTAGTGACTATAGCTAAAACCAGCTTGGTCAGGTTGGGAGACCAGCTTAACTAGTTTAAACCAGCTACATCCAGCTTAAACCAGCTAAGACTAACCAACTACTGTATAAATATATTTCAATCAGTATTGAAAAAATAGTTTTACCTAATGGCATATTAGTATTAAAGTATTGGGTCATTAGCTTAGCAACATGCTAACCTCCAAATCTATTGAAAACAAATGTGAGTCAAATGTAGAGTTGTCAAAAAGGCTGCTCACTAGGTTTTGGAATATCCAGTATTTTTGTGTGCTAATTAAGTATTGGGCCATTAGCTTAGCAACATGCTAAGATCAGAATCTATTGGAATATTACCCATTTTTTCAATATTATCCTAAATTTGTTTGTGTGCTACTACTGTATGTTATTAACTTAGTAACATGCTTATGTCAATTATGTCAGCTATTGAAATATTTGGGTGGGCTATTAGCTTAGCAACACGCTAACATCAGAATCTTTTGAAATATTATCCAATATTCCAATATTATCAATTATTTGAGTGTGTGCTATTGAGTCATTAGCTTAGTAGCATGATTATGTCAATATTTATTGAAATGTTAGTCAATATTAAAGTACTGGATCATTAGTTTAGTAACATGCTAATGTCAAAATCTGTTGGAACCTATATTTAGTCAACCAAGGTTAGATGTAATGTCTATTCAGATCAGAAGAGGTCTATAACAAAGCAAATCATCTTTGGTAGTTTTCACTCAGAGAGAAAACAGTGACTCAACATTTTTTTCTGGGAAGTTGGCAAGTTTCATCAGAATGTGACCTCAGGTCAGAGCTGCTTCCTGCCCACTGCCATGCTTCTGATAACCAGGCTCAAACCTCACCCACAATGTCTCCTGTACAAACATCTCCCTCGTCTCCACTCTTCCCTTTTCTCCTTCCTCCCCTGGTTAGATAACAGACACATCTGTATCTTTACTCACAAAGCTCTGGGATACAGCTCCAAGATCAAACCTCTCCTTTTTAAATTGATCTCAGTAACTATGTGCTGAAAAATTGAGCAGAACCAAAGACACTGCTCTGGATCCATCCCCAAGATGCAGATTTCTTCTAGATGCTCCTGCTTTGCGTAACTGTCTTTTGCCAAAAAGCCCTGAGTGACTTCAGACTTTCCATTTCAACAGAGCTCATTTTCCTTGGCAGGACAACTTCTGTCGGCTAGAGCCAGGACATTGTCAAACCTCCAAGAGAGAAAAAGTGAGGGAGAGAAGAAGACTGTGTGTGTGTGTGTGGAGCCGGGTTTCCATCCAAAGTTGCAAATTTAATTTATGCGCAAAATTGGAATATCGCACAAAACATTTGCGAACAAGCACCGTTTCCATCCAACGAGTCAAAGAGAACAAAACCATCACTTCCTGATAAACTGGCACTATATATCACTAAGAAAAGTAGGAGAAGCTACTGAATATAATAATTTTCCTATATAATAAATTGCTTGCACCTCAGAACGAGCAGACGAAACACAATGAATGCGGTTATTGCTTTCGGAGGTGGATGCTGCTGTTTGGGAACGCAGTCGTTTAACAGTTCTGGGAGGCAATTATACAGAAATACTTTGATGACAGACTTTGCTCAGGCATTTCCGAATGACCATATAACAACATTTCAGATGCTGTGGAACAAGATCGGTCCGCTGGTTAGTCAGGATTTTCTGTCCCATAGCGCAAAGTCACATTACTTTTTTGATGCGCTTGGAGGAATTTATTCGCAAACTGCATTTCCATCTCCCATTATTCACATTAACCCATTTTCGCACAAGCCAAAAACCACCTCAAGCGAGCGTAAAAACGTTTTTGCGAATTAAGGCATTTTTATTCGAAATTCAGCGTTTCCATCTCTCGAATCTGATGTGATACTTCAAAATGCGTATAAAAGCCGGGTGATGGAAACCCAGCTGGATAAGAGGTGTGCTGTTACACTATTTGAATCAACTGTGAGTGCATAGCAATTGTGACAGAGTGACCTGTCCCTGTCCCTGTTGGTTAGCGCAGCACACACACACACACACACACACCCCCCCCTTATTAACCAGACAATGGACGAGCCGACTTCCGGTTGCTTCGCGCCGAAGCGGCCACACACAGCGGACCTGGCACTATTTATCCAGGCCGCTGGGTGGCGCTCGGGTTTGGCCGGCCGATGGAGGAAAAGCAACGCGAAAGACCGGCAACACAGACGCTGACAAACACTGAACACAGGTATGTATTAACACGAT